GACCGGCTCCTGTTTTTTCTATTCAGGCGGTGGGGTAAGTTTAGGGTGAAGTCCTAGCCGTTACTGCGTATGTTCATTATTTAGATTCTAATTGCAGCTTCAATGTGACTTGTTTTTTCGGGGTTCCTGTGTTGGGATTGCGGGTCTTGGTTTAGGGACTCGAGGTGAATTCAGAAGCTCAAACCCATCCGATGCCCTCGGTCAAGGTACTCTGAAGATTGGGAGTGCCTTTACTCAATCGTAATCCCGGACACCTCTACAAAATTTGCAGCATACGCCAAAATCTAAGTTTAGCACATGCGCGCAATTAACAACACAAGCAACCAAGCACAGACAGTAGCCCAGAGCAAACTCCATCGGGAAACCATCAGACGAGAGCTAAAACCCTTGACCCCAAAGGATTTTAAAGCTTACTTAGTCTCCATTGTAGTTCCTTTTTGGGGGGTTACCTTATAAGGCCCTGGGTTAAACCAGAAAAAAGGAACTACAATGGAGACTATAGGAAAACTAAACCCTAAACCCTAAACCCTAACCCCTAAACCCCTAAAGCCCTAAACCCTAAACCCTGCAGACCCCGAAGCTCTGAACCCTTCAAACCCATAGCAGTCATGCGCGGCCAAAGGGCTTCTACCTGAAGACGAGGCCGCTGCCTCGCGAGTGCGCGGATGCTTTTCCGTTTTTTCTGCGGGAGTTTGAAGGTTGGTAATTTAGGGCTCAAGGAATCTTAGGGTTCCTGAAAGGGCTGCGACAAGGTTCTATGCTGGGTCCCCTTTAAGGGCTTGCCTGTCCATGAATGCCTGTGGCATCTGCTTAGCTGGCGGTGGCAAGCGTGTTGAATTGGTCTGGGAGGGGGGTATGGGGGCACCCTACCCCCACACCCCACACCCTGACTTTCAGAGAGCTTTGGATCTTCACACGGTAGTCTGAGCTAGCCTTGATTTGCTAAGCAATCCTTGGATTTTGGGCCTGCAGTTGAGGTGCGATATTCAAGAGACCGGGCGCTGAGGAGCTGAGAGCTTTACATTTTCGGACTTTTGAGTTTTTGTACTATGAATCTTGGGTTGGGGGTTTGAGTTGAGGGTGCGATAATCAAGAGACCGGGCGCTGAGGAGCTGAGAGCTTTACATTTTCGGACCTTTGAATTTTTGTACTATGAATCTTGGGTTGGGGGTTTGGGGGACAAGAGTGAATTAGGGCCCGGGGCCGAGGGCCTCTTGCTGCGCGTCCCTGCTCCAGCCCTTGATTTTAAAGCAACCCGCAGTGGAAAAGCCCTGCAAGGGGAGCTTACTTGGTCTGTCGGCACGATCAACACTGGCCAAGGACTTCCTGGAACTTCAAATTCCAACTACCCATAGGCTCCATAGTAGTTCCTTTTTGGATATAAACCACAAAAATGAACTACTAAATATGGAGCCCCTGGGTAGAGGACCTATTTCGCGGGTTGAGCCCCGCAAGCATTCAATTCAATCTAGTTGAAAGTGGCTCATCGGAGCCTGCGTGAGTCTGCACGCACCCTTCTCTACGAATGCTGGCGCTCTCTGACTATATTATCAGCCTGCCCCCCCTAAACCCTAAATCCAACTATACACCCTAGGCCCAAAAAAACCGGGATGGGGAAGCCTGACGCTCAACACTTCGACAGATCACCTCCGGTGCATCGAACCCCCGGCTGGATAAAAACAGCCACAAGCCCTGAAACCCTCTACACAACACAAAACTGCGTGTCCCTGCGTAGCTCCGATGGCCGGATATAACGTCTATAGGTTCAAACCTACAAAATAGTCGACTCTCATTAAATCCGTCCTTTTGGAGCTGCAGATACACTGCAAAGGTGAATCGTAATATCCTGGAGGCTAACGGCTAACAAGCGCCCAGAAAGTCCTCTCAAGCCCCATCCAAGTCTACAAAAGCCCTAATTACACAAACAAAAAACAAACTAAACCACCTCGCACGGGAGTTCAAACGTAAGGAGACAGGAAGAGCCGGTCTACAGTGAGGAACAAAGGGTTCGAGAGCGAGAATTGGGCTCCGGGGTTTCGGGCGAAGGGTTTCAGGATTTCAAGGGACAGGACTTTGCATCTAGGAATCTAGGGTCCAAGGATGTGGTCTTTCTGGCTCGAGCTGACTGGGGGGTCCAAAGAACAAGGCCAAAACGCTGGAATCGTAAAGTGGGACAAATGACAAACTCTCCGCTGTCCTACGTCCCCTCTCTTCAGAGACCCCTGCAGAATGCCCGAATCAATCTACGTCGCTACGTCTCTGCCCGGCCTCTGACATTGGTGTACCACTTGGTGGCGCTTGACTTCTGAACGGTTTAGGGTTTAGGGTTTTTAGGGTTTAGGGTTTATGGTTTAGGGTTTCTGCTGTCTACTGACAGAGAGCCATCTCACGGCGAAGACAGGCATCAGGCACGTGGCTGCCCCTATAAGCCCTCGGTGCTAATGCAGTTATAAGCCCTGTCAGCTCCCCACTGCCAGCATCATCGTCGCAGTCCTGCGTCCTCCCTCTCCTCTCACCTCCCTCGCCTGTCCTCCTCCTCATCGTCACTGCGATCATCACCATCATCATCACCACCACCTTCTTTGACAGCAGCATCATGTTCACTGGATTATCACCATCACCATTACCATCATCGTCAGCAGCAACAACAACATCATCCCACGTTTGTCGAAGGCAAATCCTGAGCTCAGCTTCTACTAGCCATAAAGAACGCAAGAAGCAAACGAATCCCAATAGGCCCTCCCATGGCTGCCAAACCAAGTAGCTTCACTGCGCCCACGTGGGCAGGAGGGTCACCCCTAAACAGCAATCTAAGCTCACTTGCCTGGTGCTTTTTGTGGTCTCGCTGTTGTGTCACCAATGCTGCGTGGGTGAAACATCTGCGTGCCGGGAGGTGTTTTAGGACCAAACTCAGGTTCAGAACCGGGCCTTGCGGGTGTTGAAAGCACTTCTATCACTTTCCAGGAATTCCTGCTTTAGGCTGTCGTGTCATGGGTTTACGGTTTCGGTTTAGATGCCGGTGGGATGCCTCGAAGGTTCGCCAAATAGGCCTACAGGAACCATCTGTCTCCCGTTCGGAGCTTGATGGGACTTCGTGTTTCTGTCGCTAGTTACTTGACACCTTAATGCTCTTCAGCTGGCATATTTACAGCAGATCCAGACTTAGTTGTCACTGCGTGGTGGCTTGCCTTTCTGCCCCCAAAGCCTGGAGAGCGCAACTTGAAGCCCTAAACTAGACCCTGTACAACCTGAACCAGCACAGAGGTTCAGAAAATGAGGACCCTACATGGTAAGAACATGTAGGAAACTTGCTGCAAGGACCCTCCCAAAGAGGGCGATCGGTGACCCCACTGTTGAGGAATCGTCACATGGATCGTGCATCTTCCTGAGTCGTCGGGCTGTTGGGGAGGACCCACTTTGTGGTCGAGGCTTTATGACCTCACATAAGCCCGGGATATGGGGCTGTGGGCTTCGGAATTGACGTTCGGCTGGGGCTTGCTAGCTAGCCCGAAAACCCCCAGCCACAAACCTGAACAAGATCTCTCGTCATACGTGCAAGGCCTTCAATGCCGGGCCATCTACATCGGCCAAATGCCATGTGCCAATCATAATCCCTACACTCCCAAGTCAATCTTTCGGAGAAAACAAAATCTGGGAATCCAAAGCCCCAGGCTGAGAAACGGGGATCCCCAAAACTCACAATACTCCGAGATTGATCCTGATAACATCAGTACTTACCAACATTACTTTGCCAGACTCCTAGACCTTATGAGCCCGAAACCCTCAAACCAACGGCATGACCTCCCCCCACAAACATTAACGCCTGAACCTAAGGATTTCAGGCTCTGGAGTCCCGGGTGCAGGATGTAGTGATTTGAGATGTTGGCTTTTGCCTTTTTGTTTGGTTTTGGGGTTTAGGATTTGTAGGGTTTAGGGTTCAGGATTGAATGATTTGGGATTGTGGGGTTGAGTTTAGGCAGGGTGTTTTGTGCTTTAGACGACGCGGGGCCTTGGGTTAAGGTTCGAGACTACGTCAGAAACCTCAACAGCATCCGAACTTCCGGTCCAGGGACACTGAAGATGTTAGCCCGTAAACTCTCAATCGCAGTCCCGGACCCCTCAAACATAAGAACAGCAAATGCGAGCAGCTGGAAGAAACAACTAAGCACACAAGGTAACGGAGAACAAGTCTTACTTAACGACGTCAGAAATTTGTACTTGTGTACTTGGCCTTGGGAAACCATCAGACGACCGCTTAATATCAAACACCAACGCCTCTAAAACTCAGACCCTGAAGCACTGAAAATTTCAAAACACAGGAGGATGCACGCCCAAGAAGCTGCTACCTGAAGACGAGGCCGCAGCCTCGTCAGTGGAGTTCTGTCTTTTTCTAACGGGCTGGAAAAATTGAGAGTTAGTGCTTCTTTCAACTTCATGCGTCAATTATTGTCTTTGTTCTGGTGGTTGCAAGCTTCGAATGGTAGAGTCTGAGCGATTCCTGTTTAGTAAGCAACCCTTGATTTAGTGCTTTGGGCTTTGGTGTTACGATCGAGTGCTTTGCTTACGGATTTAATGCTCTTAGACTCTGTCTTGGTATTATGGGTCTTGGTTTGAGGTTTGGCGGGTAAGAGTTAACAACGGCATGGGAGCGAGCCTGTCTTACTTTGTGTCCCTGTCCAGGGCGTGATTTTAGAGGAGCCCTGCATGAGGCATTTGTTTGGTTTGCCCACACGACAGTAATGGGCCCCATATCCTAGACGCTGCAAGGTGGCAACGAGAAGAGTCAGGGAATGGGATGATTACCGCAAGTTTGCGTAGTGCTCGGGACTTTTCACACAAACACACACACACAGACAGACAAAGGCAGGGAACCGAGTTGCTAAGGGGACAGGGCCGCCTAAACCCCAAACTTAGAAGGGACCTGTAAACTGTAAGGCATCGTAAAGCTCGAACTGCTCCGCACGGTTTTTTTAGGCATGCAAACTCGGGCCGATGAGCGTCTAGGTGCGCCAGGAAGCATTGTGATCCGTCTTCTTGCAATCCCAAGGCCCCCGATTGGAAAAGAAGGAGGGCCAACCTCCCCCCGTCCTGGTCGAAGATGCTTCAACATACTTGGCGAACAAAGAGGCTGGCAGAGGATCTGATGAGGATTTTTTGTGAACGTAGATGGGGATGAATACCTCGCCGTTGGCATGCCGCACCTTCTGAGAATACTGTCGCAGCACGTAGAGGCGACGGTTCCCACAAACGACCTTGCATGCATGTCTCTGAATGCGAAGTGCAAATTGTGTTGCGTTGCATTGAACTGCTGGTTGAAACTTCTGAAAAAATCGCCTTGTTACAACCGAAATTCAGTATGAACAATTCCTTAGCCCAGGAAAGTGTCCCATATCTTGCCCTCATCCTCGACGCCCACTAACGGCGTTATGTCCAGGGGGACGACCTTCTCTGAAAGGAGGTCCTCCAGCAACCTGCTCAAAGGCTGCCCGCAGTGCGGAGGGCTGCGGAACTGCCATGAAATCTGGCTGTGGCAGAAGCAGAGGTCCTTTGCCATGGGGCATGGGCTTTTAAAGCCGTCTGAAGGTTTCCTAAATTCTTTGTCTGTCAAAAGGATTCCCCGTCTTCAGTCCAGAGATTTGAGACTTTCTGGCTTTGAGTGTTCGCTCCTCCATATCTGTAGTGCAGAAACCCTAGCTTAAGCCCTCCAAATTGTTAAACCCATAGCTCCAGTAAATACCGGCTACTTGGCTTGCCTTGCCGCCAACCGTCCTTTAGGGACCTGGTTCATGGGGAGAAGCAAACGTCTACCCATCTCGGGCAATTTTTAACTTTAAGGTGGGAACACAGAGACAGAAGGCCTTCTCTACCCCAAAAGTTGCAGATTACACCTTTTGCTTGGCTTACCGAAATTTCACCAAATCCGGAAGTACCTCGATCTAACGCTGACACCTGCTTTAAGGTCCGACCGCTTTGGGTAGCCTACCGCTAGTACTGATACTCGAGGTCACTCTGACTATTTCTCTCCCCGTTACATTATCACCAAACATAACTGCTGCTTATTTGTCATTACTAAGCCCGCAACAACGTAACAGGTATGACGGTATGACGTTAATTCCCGATACTAGACGAAGTACTGAAAAATGCAAGTGTCCTCTGGCAGAAGAAACTGTAGCAAATGTCCCCACTTGCTCATCACTCGCTCGGGGGAATAGCGAGACGGATCCCAATCGCAGCAAGTTTGCGCCTTACGCAGGATCTCGACTTGTTGTGCCGTGAGCCGCTCCTGTTCCACTCTGCCATAGGATGACTTCCTGTATTTCGTCGGCCGCTCCATGTCTGCGACCTCTTCATGCGAGAACTTGTCGTCACCTGGGCCTGGTCTCCACGTTGTTGAGACCTCCGGCAGCTCCGGCTTGCATGTTGGGGGCAGCCCCAGTGGGAAACGATCTGCCAATCTACCTCCTGCCGAGCCTCTCCATGATGAGGGCAACTCCGTCTTGCGCTGCGCTGGTATGACACCATCTGCTAATGATCTGCGTGTAGCTGGACTGTCGCTCCCTTGTGTAAATGGCTTCTTCTTGCGAATGTTCTGCTGTGTGGATGTGAAACTTTTCAGACGTGGCTTCCGATGCGCTCTCCGAACCCATCCGGCATGTGGAAGAGGTTTAGAAGCTGATACCTCTGCCTTGCAGCTCTTGCGCGGCGCGGGTATGAAATGGTCCGGGCAGGGCTGCAACTTCCAGTCCGGCACATCGACCAGGGCATCGAGACAGTGATCTGATGCATCTTCGGACGGCTCTTCTTTCGATGCCTCATCAAGCACGAGGCACTCCTGCAAGTGAGTATTGGCCGCGCGTTGTGCTTCAAGGGCCATGGAATGAGCTTGCATCCTCAGCTCAAGCGTGCCGCTCGTATTTCGGACTGCTGCCTCCCTCAAGGCTTCTTGGGATAGCTTCACCCGCTCATCGGCTTCCTGAACCACCTGCAGCGCGTGCACTGCCAGGGCGGTCTTTGGGGGCAGCTCCGCAGCCGAGGTAATTGATGGCTCCAGCTTGACTGGCACCAGCCTGATGCGCGCTGCACTGCCGGCGGCCATGGCCAGATCTGCATTCCATGCTTCGCATTATCAGCCTTTTTACGCGGTTACATGTTTCTCAACCCTGGTATGGACGGGCACTTTACGGTTGGCAGTGCAAGAATGTCCTTTCTCCCAGTCTCGAGGCCGTCTTCAAGATTGCCTAGCACGTGTGGTTTATGCCATGGTGCTTGCGCTGCCAAGGACACGTTTGCTGTTCATGTGGCTTACATCTCCGACACGTCGCTAATATAACCGTCTGGGCCAAGGGCCCCCAGGCAAGGAGCAAGCACTTTGGCTCGAGCTGCGGGGGTCAAGAACACGGTCAAAACTCTTGAAGCAGGACATGATCGAACAAATGGCGACTCTGCCGTCCTGAGCTCATGCATGCTCCCCTGAGACCCTGAGCAATCTTAATCTATCCCGGTCCGGCCTCTGACATTGGTGTACCACTTGGTCGCGACTGATTGCTGTCTAGCAACAGGGAGCCATCTCACGGCGAAGAACGGCATGGAGCATGTAGACTATTAGCCCTAAGAGCCCTTTCACGCAGAGAGCCGGCAGCATCCTCGCAGTCCTCCGTCCTCCCTCTCCTCTTACCTCCGTTGCCCGTACGTAGTCTCATCGTCACCAGCACCATCACCACCACCGCCATCGGCAGCGGCATCACGTTCGCTGGAATATCACCGTCACCAGTACCATCATCAGTAGCAGCAACAACAACGACAACATCGTCCCAGCTGTCGTCGAAGGCAAATCCGAGACAGGGTTCGCTTGAACTCGGCTTCTACTAGCCAAAAAGAACGCAAGAAACAAACGAATCCCTAAAACCCAGAGAAAAACCTCGTCTCGAGATTGCGGTGCCAGTGCCATGCTCTCACTGGCCACGGCATCGAACCAGTGGCTTCATCCCCCCCTAGGAGAGCAGTAGGGGTTTCTTCTAAACTCAACCCTTGCCCGCTATACCTTGAATTAAACCTGCTTTAAACATCGCTCTCCTTTTTGAAGGCTCGTTGTGGCGGCACCAATGCTGTGTGGGTGAAACATCTGCGTGCCGAGAAGTGTTTTAGGGCCAAGCTTCATTTCAGAACCAGGCTTTTCAGCACTACCGTCGGTTTCCACGAACGTCTTTCTGTGTGCGCCCATACATCTTTGGGTGTGCTGCCATGGACTAGCTTAGCGTGAGGCTTCAGGGTTTTGGGGCTTAAAGTTTCGTGAGGGAGGGCAATCGGATACTTAGAAGGTTTAACAGAACTAACTGTCTTGCGTTCGGCAGTTGACGGCACTTCGTGTTTCTTGAGCTTGTTACAGGATCCAGTTGAAAGGTGCTTACGCCTGAATCAGACCCCATTCAATAAATCGATTGCCCCAGAGCCGAAAGCGTAAATTCGAAGAGTGGATATCCAGATGTTGCGAGTGGCTGAGGTTGCAGAACTGAGGCTCAACGGTATGCCCTACACCTACGGTTGACACTCATGTATACATGTTACATAAAACCAGTACATACAAATCAACAAATACATAAATGTCGTACATCACACATACATACATACATACATACATACGTACATACACACACACGTACATATGTATATATATACACATATGTATATATATATACACATATGTATATACATACATACACACATACACACATATATACATACATACACACATATATACA